TTTTTTTTTTTATCCATTCTGATACCCTATGTCTTTTTGTTGGAGCATTTAGTCCATTTATATAAAGTGTTATTATTGAAAGATACAGGTTTAGAGTCATTGTGATGTCTGTAGGTTTCATGCTTGTAGTGATGTCTTTGGTACTTTGTGGTTCTTGCAACATTTCATTCACAGAGTCCCCCTTAGGGACATTTTCATTGACCCAGGGACTACCAGAGTGGTATAGGGGCCACTGTCTCTGGTAGGTGGGATGATGAGTCCTGGGGAGCCACCAACTCCCTGCAGTAGAGGCTTAGGTGGCTGCCAGCCCTGGGTTTTAGAGAAGAGGTCAGAGGCAGTTGCAGAGACTGGGTTCAAGTCAGGATGGATGGCAGCTGAGTGGCAAGAGGGTGGATGGCCGAAGGGGGCTATAGATGGGAGAATGTTAGTGTTAGGATCTAGAGTTTAGAGACTGGCTGTCTAGATACTAAGTGGCCAGGAACACTGAGATTTTGTAACTCCCAGAAGAGGTTAACCTGTGTGTTTTCATAAAGGGCAAAATTAAGTTGAGGATTTATTGGAGTTGGGAGCCCTTTTTGTTGAGGGAAATTTGTTCAAGGGGGCAGCGGGGGTAGAAGGGCATAGATCTGAAGTGTCCAGGTACCTGGATAGTAACCTCCTCCATGTCTAGCAACCATGCCCGTGCCCCCCAGTGCCTTTCAAATGGTTTCAGCAGTCCCATTAAAATTAGTAGCACTGCCCTGTAGTTAGGGGGAGCGCCTTATAGAGTAATACTCTGGACTCGGGGTCACTTGAGGCCTTGTCAGGTTTAGAAATGAAGAGGGTGTCATTCGGGTCACTATGGTCATTGAAATGATAAACATACGGGACCACGCCAACTTTGCTACAGGAGACAGGCCTAGTCTAATGTTTCCCATTCACTGTGAGCCTTAGCTTTAGTGATTTCTGTCAGGAACGGATGAGCACAGCACCAGGCAGTAAATATCCAGGGTGGGGGGGTAGGTACAGATATCAGTGGCTCTGGGGGCTCCATCTTCCTTTACCAATCCTCATCCTCATCAGTGGCCTCAACAACCAGGTCAGCTTTTCCTTTGGTACCAGGGGCACTCCCTGAGACATGTTGCTTTGTTCTATCCCATTTGGGGAGGAAAGCCTAGGGGGCTCAGGATGTGGTATCTCAAAGGAAACAGACATGTAACTGGACTGTTCTCTGAGAAGATTATAGATTTTAGGGTCTTCAGAGAGACTGGCCCATTGTGCAGTTCAGCCATGAGTAACAGTTCTCAATCACAGGCCACAAACCTGTAATAGCCAGTTAGCTCCCTTCTATCCTTCCTGCTGCACAAAGTCTTTAAGGTTAGAATTTCAGTTAAGGCATAATTTCTGATGCCTTAATTGTTACTTTCTGATTTTCTTCATTACGTTGATCTTAACGTGTTGTTACCAGAAAAAGTTTCTGGAAAATGTCCCTGTGAGCCCACTTCATAAGTGGCTGCATTCCTTTCCAGGGTGTCCCAGTTGCCCTCCCCAGGATTGGCATCTGCCTCCACTAGCGCAGTGTACACGGGACCTTTGGGAAAGCCCTGGCTTTCCTATTGGTGCAAATAGCAGAGCCTTGGCATGTTGGTACCTAGTGGCACTAAGCAATGCCCAGGAAGGTTTCATCTCTGTTAAATAAATTTTGCATTTATTTGGAGCTGATGTACCCCCTCTGGGGTCTTAAGAGGCACTGGCATAAGATGTTCAGGACATTTGTGTTTGTCTATTAATTGTTTAGCAACATCACACCGGAGACTGGACTTATGATATCCCATGGGGTTAGGGAGACAAAGTGATGGTGAGTGTAGCGGCCATGTGGGGACAGCAAGCCTCAGTGAATGTCTCCTTTCATGGTGCCATTGGTTTCCTGTTACAAGGCTGTTCTGTGTATCTGGGTTAGGGCACATAGTCCCACTGTGACCCACCACTCAGTGGTCACTAGGGGAGTTCTCACTCCTCCTTATCTACTGGAGTACCCTTTCCTCGGTACCATTAGCCCAAAGCCTCATCTTGGGCAGCAATCTCAGCCTTGGGATTCACTCTGCCTTCACTAGCTGTCCTTGGCGCAAGGCAGGGAGGACCCTCATGTACATTAGTAGTCAGTAAAGGCCTTTATAATTAGTGGTCTTATCATCTCATTAGTCCATATAGCCTAAATCACATTGCACTGGAGAGTGAATTATTATGGTAGCAGTGACAGGAAACACACAGCAGAGGCAATATGCAGAAGCACGGAAGAGTGCAGTAGACCTCCAGCAAGTGGTGCTGCCTTCCCAAATGGTGTTACCATCTGCGTTAGCCAGTCACAGTTAGTAAGGTGGTTGAAGCTGGGGGTGGTTCATGGGTGGCTCAGTCTGTTGGGCTCCACCTCTTGATTTCGGCTCAGGTCAGGATCTCATGGTTTGTGAGTTCAAGCCCTCATTAAGGTCTACGCTGATGATGCAGAGACTGCTTGGGATTCTGCCTCCGTATCTCTCTGCCCCTCCCCTGCTTGCTCGTTCTCTCTTTCTCAAAACAAATAAAAATAAACTTTGAAGAAAAAAAAAAGATAGTTGAAGCTAAACGCGTTCCCGTAGGTTAACTACAAGTGCTATCATCACACAGTCCCCTTGACTGTACCATCTACCAATTGTTTGGCTCTCAGACTATTGATAGTGGTGCCAGCGGTTAGAAATGCCTGGGGACACTCACCTGGGCTGACTACTTGTGGCTGCGCTTAGAGATGGTTCCCTGAGCCGAGTGCCTCTTGTGAGTTTGTCTTGTGGCTAGACTTGCCTTAAGGGTTCTTACGATTGCAGGATGCACCTCAGCCACAACCATCAGAGAACTTCGAAAAACAAGATTTGTGACTCAGAAGTTCTGGAGGGTCCGTGGCATTCTGGGGTCTCAGATAGGGAGAGAGAGAGAGAGGAAGAGAGTGTGGTCCAGGGGCTCTGCATTATTGGGATGAAGGGTGAAGTGCCTAAGGACTTTGTGAGTTCATTCTTTATTGGCAAATTTAAAACAGCAGAAATTAGGAAGTGGGAAGGGAGAAACAGCATCACTCAGGCAGCCAGTTATCTAGGTTACCCAGAGCTTTCTAAAAGAGGAGCTTCATGCGTGTCAGTAGTCTGGTGCTTTGTCTAGTTGACTTGCTGCTAGCTGTGGCATGCAGCTGGCAGTATGTTTATTTGAGGTGGAGGGCTTTGAAATGCATGCCTTGGCTGTCAGAGGGTTAATGTCAGGTACTGATGCTACACTTACAGAACTACTTAGGAAAAATACGTGTCTCTGCTTATTAAACCTGTATTTGTACATAACCTGTGACCCAGCAGTTCCTCTCCTGGGTATGTCCCCAAAAGAAATCAGTGCACACAGGCACCAAGAGAAATATATGGGAATATTCATAGCAGCATTATCAGTAATTGTCCAAGAGTAGAAACAACACAGAATAAATAAATATATCGTGGAAACAGTCACAGCACAGAATGCTGTACGTGATAGCTGTTCACCCAACAACATGGATGAGCCTCTTACTGAACATAATCTGCAGAAAAGCCAAACACAAAAATGTATTCTGTGTGATTCCGTTTATATAAAGCCTGAAAACAGGCAAAACAAAGTGAAGCTGTTTACGGAGGGGTACTGAAATGGTAAAAGTATAAAGAAAAATAAGTGATGATTTTGAAAGGCGAAGGAGTGGTTAATTTGGAGAGGAAGAGGATGTGATAAATTTGGGCTTCGGTGGGTGAAGGCAATGATGTATTTCTAGGCAGGTGATGGTAGATGTTTGCTTTCTGATTCATTAAACTATGTGATTTGCATACTTTTCTATGTCTTTCTATGTGTTTTATTTTAAAAAGAGGATACACAAAATAGTATGTCAGGAAGTTACAAATTTTTTATTTATGGGCACATATACATAAAAGTACTAAAACATCCCTAGGGAGGATGGGCACAAATTTAGATTAGCTTCTCTCTGTGGGCGAGGAGGGGAATATGGTAGTGCTGGGATCTAGAGCTGTACTTTTCTTTTTCAACAAGAAAGGTCTGGAACAAAGATGGCAAAATAGTAACATCCTCAGTGTGGGTGGTATGTGCACGGGTGTCTTTTTTGGGTACTTTTCTTCATGTTTATTTTTCATAATTGAAAATAAATTTAAAGGGGCACCTGGGTGGTTCAGTTGGTTAAGCATCTGTGTCCTCACTTCGGCTCAGGTCACGATCTCAGGGTCATGGGATCGAGCCCCGCGTTGGGTTCTGTGCTGACGGTGCGGAGCCTATTGGGATTCTCTCTCCCTCCCTCTACCACCTGCTTCTCTCTCTCACTTGATCTTAGCCAAGAGGCCGAGAAGCTATGCTTCTCTCTCTCAATGAATGAATGAATGAATTTAAAAGTAGGCAGGATGATTTTTAAAGGGTAAGGGAGTTGGAGATAAAAATTAGATATGTTATTTATATATACCTAACACTGTATTTTTTGCCCCAAAGGTACCTGAAGCTCTTCACTTTTCTGCCCCTTCCAGAGATTGACCACATAATGCAGCTGCATGAGAAAGAGCCAGAAAAGCGGGGTCCTCAAAAACGACTTGCTGCAGAAGTTACAAAGCTTGTTCATGGACAAGAAGGGCTGGCTTCTGCTAAAAGGTGGCCTTTTAGAATAACTAAAAGTGGATAAAGTTAATGTAATTAGTAGACTTGAGAAAATTCATTAGGGTTGTTATTTACCACTAACAAGAATTGTACTGTAGAATAGCTTCTGTTGGAAAGAAAGATCACCTTGAATTAAGTGTAAATTATGTAAGATAAACGTTGCTGTTTCAAAACCTTTCAGTGTGGAACATAATGGGCACTCCATAATTGGTTACTGGGTACTAGCCCATGTGTCTGGATAGGCGCTCACGTGATGTGGTTCTCAATGTGTATTTCAGGTGTACTCAAGCCCTTTACCATAGTAGCATAGACGCACTGGAGGTCATGTCTGACCAAGAGCTAAAAGAGCTGTTTAAAGAAGCTTCGTTTTCTGAACTAGTTCTTGACCCAGGAACAAGTGTCCTAGATACATGCCGCAAAGCAAATGCCATTCCAGATGGTCCCCGAGGGTAAGATTATTTAACTTTTAGATCCACAGTTAATTCGGCAGTAAATGTTACAGTTCACAGCATGTGTTTCCAGAAGGTGTTTTCCTGATAATGCTTCAATGGGGTCTCATTTCTGGCAGAAGTTAATCCCAGAATAAAGTGAAAACTGAGTACTTATTGTCGAAAATCCTTTAAATTTTCTATAAAATCTGGTACTACTATACCGTCTCTCCTTAAGTCTAACTCAGTTTCTCCTCAGCATGGAAAGGACTCTGTTTAAGGGACCAGTTACTGAACTTTTCTAGTGGTTTATTTACTGATACTGGAAATTGTACCACTAAAGATGACACCGTATCTGATTCTGACAGAGTTCTTAAGTAACACTGACATTTGTTTACATTGTATAAGCTGAGTAAGATTGGCTTGTACATTTAAACACAATGTAGAAATTGATCTGTAAACTGTAGCAAATAGCCCAAAATAACACTTCCTAAGAGAAAGAAATTTGTCCTTAAACAGATGTTTTACTGTAATTTTATAAAACCATGGGTTGTAGCATTTTTTTTCATTTGGTAACACGTTAAGAGAAAATGAACATTTGCCTTTCACAAGGACTTCCAAGGCCTTTCATACTCTAGACCTCTTATCTTCTCAGAGTTCACTGCTTTCTAGCTACTCCCCATGTTTCCTCACCGTTTGTGAAATTTACTGCTACTCTCCAGTTTACATGTCTCTTCTTTCAGGAAAATTTCCAACCCCCACGCACCCAGTGTGCTCCTAGAGCAACCTTTCCTGGGGCTTTATAGCATTTAATCAGTGTAATTATTTATTTGTCTGGATTACCCCACTAGTTTTCAGTAGTAAAGGCTCTATGAATGTTTATTGAATGAACTGGGCCATAAATAATGTGAGTAAAACCTATTTACATATGCCATCAAAAAATTGTTGCTAAACTGGAATTAGATAAGCTACTGATTTTCCATTTCTGAAATCAGCCCATTTCACTTTTCTAAAAAAGTTCTGCTTTTTAACATTTTAACAAAATGTGCTATTATTTGCATAGTCTCAGAATAGAATTTCCAAGGTTCTTCCAGTTTCATAAGCAAGTTTTCTAAAGGTTTTTGTAATAGCATATATAGTTGTGACTTGTAGCTCATGGAAGCTCATTAAAAGCAGCATTGCCCTTTTTCTGTCGGGAGGCTTCTTTTCTGTAAGCCCCTACTCAAAGTGTGGGGAGGGGGGGAATTGGCTTGAGAAAGTGATTCTGTTACTCATTTTTAAATCACTACCAACTGAATAGTTCTATATAGAGCTGTGGGATATCCCAGCTTTTTCTCTACTAAGTAAGAAACTGTGCCTTAAATCTCCTTTAGAAGAGCATTTAAGGGGGGCAGATATCTAGAGTGAACATAAAGGTAACAATTCAGTGCTAAGTGGTTTTAGTTGGACAGCCTCTGAAATATAAATGAAATATCATTGGGAGAGGTGAGTGGTGATGGATTTATCTAATTAACTAAAATACTGTTATTTTTAGGTATCGGATGATAACAGAAGGTGGAGTCAGTATAAATCACAGACAAGTAACAAATCCTGAGAGTGTTTTAGTCGTTGGACAACATATTCTTAAGAATGGACTTTCATTACTTAAAATAGGAAAAAGGAATTTCTACATTATAAAATGGCTTCAGCTATGATGAAAAATCCTTCTGGTGGTTCAGACGTATCCATCTCATTCTCAAGATGTACCAAAGGTTGGCTCCAGAACTTATACTTTCGTTCACACAAGCCAAACAACAGAGAATGGAGTATACTTTAGGCCTCAGAGTGTGAGTAATTTCATTATTTGTATAGGTTGATTAATGTGTAATGGTGGGGTATTTTGTTTCCTGATCTGCAGGTATTAAGGACTACCATAGAAAACCATAATTGCCGAGGATAATCTCTTTTAAAAATCCTATTTCATGAAATAACTATTGTATCCTTCTTGCGCTCTTTTTAGAGATGAGGAAGAACAGTGAAAAAGAGGGCAGAATAAGGACTCTTGGATACTTTTATATCCAAGTGTCTATCTTCCTGACCTTACTAACACCAGCAGCATCCGCAGTGGTCACATTAGAGATGTGAAATACGGTATTGGAAACTGTAGATTTCTGAATTTTTTTGCCATTTAGGAAGCAAATACAGTTCTCCTTAAGAAGAAAAGTATTACACAAAGCCCTAGTTGGGAGTAGAAATTACAGTAGAAAGTTTCTTTTCAAAGAACAAAAACCAGTACTTTTGAGAAAGTTTCCAGTTCAGTTTTCCAGTCTCTTACCTGTGTTTCAGTATAAATTTACTCACAGCCTTGTTTTGCCAGATTACTAAGGTAGCAATATTTTATAAATTTGGAAACTTAAGTTTCAGCTTCTGTCCCCAAGCAGATTACAACTTGAGATAAACTGAAAAGTAACTAGAGAGAAAATAGCGGCAAATATAGTATCAAATACCCCATCATATGAGAATATCAAAGTAATTCTTCTGGTAAGGGAAGTCTTCAGGTCACACTTAAAGGATTTAGAACAAGACCTAGTTAAGCTGTACATACATTAGGCAAGTCAATTCTCAGAACTGTTTCTACATGTGAAAAATCAAGGTAGTTATCATCCCTGTTTCCCTGAGGACCAAGTGAAACATAAATACAAATGGTTCACAATCCGGTTCCTTCTTGAAAACCTTACAGGCAGCAAAGCATGGCTTTAGTGTTCAAATTCTAGCCATTTGCTACCTGGGATACTTGAAACAAATCACTAGCGTGATATGTAAAAATGGAGATGTAATCGTAGCTTTGTGAATTGTGAGATTGCATAGGAAAAAAGTTGTAAAACTTTTCATGTAGCATAAGCTGTCTTATGTTCCAATTAGATTTATATGTTAAAAAGCTAGTAGATCTAAATTTTTCCCTGGGAGCAAAGTTAGGAAGAATTGACTTATTGACAAAACTTGAATGTCATTTCGTACCAGCAATTTTATTTACATAGCAAGAACATACAGGCGTCCGTGGTAAATGTCAGAGATCATCGCCACATTTCAGAGCTTCACTCAGTTTGAGCCAATAAATGAAGGGTTTCTGAAACTTTACGTACCGTCCTTGCCTCTGCTTTTCTTGTACAAGGTGTGTAGTGCCAGCAAGTACATTACCATCACCTCAGTTTTAAAGGTAACGTTTTCAATTTGAAATTATGTTTGATATGCTGGGGAATGGTACACTGTAAGTTTCTCCCCCCTTACAAACTCAAGACTGGGATGGTAGTCATCTGATGTATCTGAAGTGAGTAAATCAGGGATGGCTGTACTGATATTGAATAATGGCAGAGTGATTTTAAAGTGTGTGCTAATGAACATTTAGGTAGTATGTATTCTATCAAGAAGGTACTATGAACAGATTCAAAGTAGTACCATTAAGATTGAATCTGGTTTTTTATGTTTGAGATCAGTTGCTGAGCCCGTTGTTTGCTAGTACGTGGGTACCATAAGCTCACGTTACCAACACGTTGTTCCTGCCAGTAGTCTTTCACAACTGTTGTAACAGAAATGTTAACATGTTCAGTAAATTCTGTATTGCTGATATGATCTTTTAGAGATGGAGCTAGATGCCTTAAGGATTTTGACCCAGATCTTAAAATTTATTATGTAATTCATACCAAGAATCACCTGGGGAATTTTAATAAAATGTGAGTATGTTCTAAACCTCACCCCAGAACTCTGAATGTATTTTAGTAGTAAAAAGCCTTTAGGTGTGTCTGTCCAGATGTTTATCTTTAAATAATAAGGCTCCATCAGTATTTTCCTATCTATTGTAATCTAATGTATCGTTGGTGTGAAGCAAAAGTAACTGTTACCAACTAATAGAGACGTATACTTCGATGACCAGCACAGTATTTGGTTTTAAGTCTCACCTCCAAGTGAATCTTAGAGCATGTTATGAGTGACCTAATTTAAAGATGTATTGGAATTACTATTATATTTGAAAATCAAGTCTAGATGGTTGTTTTTAATGCAGGAAAGTAGAATTCATGCTTGCAGGTTTAAGAAAGAATCAAAGATAATTTAGATGTTTAATGCACTAGGGCAGCGTGGACCCGGAAGTGGAAGGGCTGCAATAGCTACACCTCATGCACATCACCGTCAGTGTTACAGATCTTGTGCCTTCAGCTTTCTTACTAACACCATCAGAGGTTGCAGAGAAGCTCAATAAAAGTAGATCTCGAAGGATAGGTGGACTACAGTGACTGTGAGTAACTTGTCAACTCACACCTTTCAAAGCCAGACCAGTTTATAGTGTGCATGCATTATAGTTGTATGAAATGTTGTCTTCGTGCGTTCTTCTCCAAGGACTATGGCAGCAGCTTTAAGACTGCTCACAGGTTACACAGGTCATCTTATCCACAGGCAAACTGCTTGTACGACTAGAACATGAACAGTTCTTTTTAAGTTCAAATGAAACTGTCACAAGAAAGACTTGATGTATTTTATGTGTACTTTATATGTACGGGGCAACTTTAGAAACAGCCATTTATTATTTGGATTAAATGTATGATTTGTTCTGTGATACAGAGTACGATTTTCAGTTTATAGCCAGTCTCTTCACATGAGCAGATTCATACCATTGCAATACACAGGAGTTCATAAATAAAATTCTACTCAAGTAGGCAGTAACTAGCAAATTTCGAGTCAACAAAGTCTCAGTGTTATATAGTTCTCTTCACCAAAGATGAGTCTCTCGGATTTCAGCAATTATTTGACTGGCTCCTTGTAATGCCTACATTAAAAAAGATAAAAAAAATTATAGATGCTTATTGAGTTATGATATCAAAAAAGGAAGTAATCTCTCCCCTTTATATGTGGCAGATCTATACAACTAGTACCTTCAGTCTCAAAATCTAATCAAGTACTATGCAAAAAAATAGACTAGCCATCCTGTGATGACTGTGTATCTCCAGGGATCAGAATGTAGTGTTTATATCTACAACCCAGCCCCGGGTGTGAAGATTCAGAAGCATTTGCGATACCTTTAGCATGTCCGCAGCTTCCTTCCTGCGCTGTGCCATGTCCTCGGATTCAGTCAGAAGATCATCCAGTAAGGATGATTTATACAGCTGTCCTACTAACTCACTCTGAAGAGTATCTTTCACGTGATTCACCAAAAAGTGCATTACTGCCTTTGGCACACTGTAAAATAAAACCATCAGATGATCCGCTAACTTAGAATCAAAGCCTAAAAATGTTTTAAATACATGTATTTTCAAAACTGATTATGGAGTTATCCAGCAGTATACATATGCTCTGATTTATAGTACTAACCTGTCTTGAATATTCTTTCTGACAATGAGAAAATACGATTTGATGAGTCGCTCAATGACCTCACAGTCTCGCTGTTCACGCGCAGATAGTTTTCGTGCAACAGGAACTGGCTAAATGGGGTGAAGGGAAGAAACTTTGTTTTTGTGCCATTTTCAAATAAAAGTTCAGTAAGTTTGGGGTGCCTGGGTGACTCAGTTAAGCGTCCAACTTCAGCTCAGGTGATGCTCTAACATAACAGTTTGTGAGTTTGAGCCCCACGTTGGGCTCTGTGCTGACAGCTCCGAGCCTGGAGCCTGCTTTGGATTCTGTCTCCTCCTCTCTCTGCTCCTCCCCTACTTGCGCGCATGCTCTCAACAATAAATGTTTAAGTTCAGTAAGTTTTTGTGACTTTTAGTTTCTTTTGTCTTTTAAAGTGTTCTCCGAATAACAGGGTTATCTCACTAGTGCTGAACCTATTTGCATGGCTTACCACATCCAGCAGATTGACAGCATGGCCTTTTTGGGGACTGGCTGGCATAATTGGAATTGGTTTTGATTTTTCCTCAGCTAATAACTCTTCAGCTTTTGAAGTTTTCAGCATTCCTCTCCAGTTGCCTGTTGTTGGTTCCTGAACACCATCTCCGACCCCACCACCTCCAGATGCAACCTGAAAAAAACGTTCCAAAATCTGTTCCAATCGTATCCTATCGGACCTTAACTAAACAAAGTTCATTTTCCTTGACAGCAGTCAAGAACACACATCCTGTACCCATCTGGAATCTCATCTATTCAGACAGATAACTGGGTCAGAAAGAGATGGCGGGTGGCATGTATAACTGGAACCCTGAGCTGTCTAAGAGGTTCTGTTGTAATTTCCAGGCCTCAGCCAGTAGACTGAGTTTTTATCGTTTGCTAACTTTAAAATTCTTCCTCTTCTCCAACTCCTCTACCACTATGAAAAACGAAACAGCTGCCATTCAGCTTTTTTTCAAAGGAACCTTACACACTGTTGAACTGTGATCTCTCCAAAAGTTCTGTGAACTCCTGTTTCCAAAACTTCAGAGTTTAACAGTCAACAAAATATCATAGGCTAAACCTACAAACTCTGTAACACACTCACGATTCTTAGGCTGATGTGACTTTAAACTGCCTAAAACATAGGATGTGACATAAACACAATGTAAGTTTCCTCCATGTCTATACTCTTGAGAAAAGATCTGCTGAAAGGAATCTAGCACTACCATTAACCACAAGTGCTCTTGCACTTTCTTTTCTAGGATATGTTAGAAAAGATGTTTAGGATAATGGGAAAAACTAACTCATCAACACTTAAGCAATGTTTTTAGACACTCTTTAAAAAGATCTTCTAATCTAAAATGGAGTTAAGATGACCTCCAAACTTCTAACAGAAATGCGTTATGGCAACTGTTTAAAAATGTCTTTTTTTTTTTTTTAAAGCTCATAGATAACAGATCTGAAGACCAATTGTAGGGTGACAACTGGTTAAGTAGACTTTTGGGGACGATCACATTACAAGTGTATACAGGTGTCAAATTATAATTTGTAGACCTGAAACATATTTTTAAAAAGTCATTGCGAATGGGGTATCTTTCTGAATTAAAACACTGGCCCAAATTTGTCTCTGTTTAGATAGGCCATATCTAAATACAGGCAGTATATTTATACACTGATTTTTAAATGAGTAATTATACTTTAAATACCTATTAACTACACATGAATGATAGAAATTATAAGGAAAGTAAGCAAATTCAGGGTGATGCCATGAGTGAAGTAAAACCCAAGGCAATGATTTAGATGGTCTCTAAACCTGAGCACAGGGGGCTGAGAGAGGTAAAACATTTATAAAGTTTTGAGGTTCAGCACCTTAAATCTGGACAGTGAGGAAAGGAGCTAAATGCAGAAAAAACTAAATATGGATGGGTCTGAATAGTTTACTGATTAATAATTTTCTCCAAAAAAAGTTCTCAAGAATTGACAGTCTCAAACTCTCCCAGTCCCCTTTGTTTTGAATTTGCTTAAGCTGTTGAGGCACATTTTAAGCTACACATTGAGGTGACAATGCAAACTGAATGGAAGCATAAGGAAGCTGCAGGAGGGGATTATCCATTAGTACCGGACCAATGTCAGAACTTTTAAAGAGGAAATGTCCAAACATATAACAACTTCCACCTCTGGAATCTTAATTTCCTACCACAATATTAAAATCAAAACTAGTAGGAAAGCCTATTGTTGTTATTTAAAGAAATGTTAAAACTAGAACAAATGCCATCTTAAAAGGATTAGAAAAGAAAAACAATAAAAAATGGAACACAGACAAGAGATAGATGCTACTGCACAAACAGCTTCTTCAGTGATTTTGAAGACAGTGTTTCAGTGAGAACCAAAGGTACATTTCCATTCTGAAGCAAGAGACTCACATTTTTAGTTTCTCTTCTGCTGTCCTGAATTAACTGTTAAAAGATACGTTAAAACATGCAGTTTAACAAGCAAAATTTAAATACCAATGGTGTGAATTTCAAAACTGCAGGATAATTTCCTCTTTAAATTATTTTTCTGTGTGTTTCTGCTATCTGGCAAGCAAAGGCATGTCAACAATAATTTATGAAGTATACAGTTACATAATTCAGAATTCTTTTTAGACTAAATCTAACCTTAGCACAATATCCCAAATTAATATTCTATTCAGTGTACAGTGTGTTGTTTCCAGATGATTATGTTGCACCAAACAACCAGGCATGCAGGCTTAGATTAAGAATCAGAACAGACCTTGCCATCAGCCTCAGCAGAAGCAGCAGGGGAGGGCTCCTGGGAGGCAGGTGCCAAAGCACTTGGAACTTTATAAGACTAAAGGTAAAAAATGCAGGGAAAGAAAATCAAGGATGCCAAAGATGCATTCAGAAAACATTCTATACATGTAAATTTTTCTTCTCTGCATCAAATTAGTAAAGTAACATGAGAAACAAAAGGAACCATGGGACATAAAATTATTTTTTATTCTTCCTTATTTCTTATACTGTTACCACTTTGTTAAAAGCCTTCTGCAATGAGTACCTAAGGACAATCTAAATCGTTTTTATTTTTGGAATCTGGTAAGATCTTTTCTGGAAAAGGATTTAAGATAACAGATTTGTATACACACATTTTAATGGATGCAACTTATTACAGGTAACCAGAACCTATTATGTGCATATTATTTTTCCCTCTCTAAAATACCTTCTTGTTTTAGAGTAAAGTCATCCATTGGTCATTTCAACTAATTGCACAGAGTTGATAAAGTCACCTTAAACTTTTAAAAGCTTGATATTTAAAATCCAACTTTAAGCATTTTTTCTAATGTATTCAAGATACCATTAACTTTAAATTACTCAAAACCTATTTTTAAGGGGGCCTGATGGCTCGGGTCAGTTAAACATCCGGCTCTTGGTTTTCGGCTCAGGTCATGATCTCACAGTTTGTGAGTTTGAGTCCCATGTCAGTCTTTGCATGGACAGTGTGGAGCCAGCTTTAGATTTTCTCTCTCCCTTTATGCCCCTCCCCTGCTTGTGCATGCATATACACACATGCGCTCTCGCTCACTCATAATATAAATAAGCTTTAAAAAAAAACCTATTTTTCAACTTGAAATACCTTCACTCAAACAATGAAATAATTCCAATGGAACAGTGAAGAGAGAAAAAAAAATTACTCTAGAACTGAGGCTTACCCAATCCATCTTTGCATGTTGGGAATATGCTTTAAAAATACTGTTTTTTACCTTGTCTCGTGATACGGCTGAAGGTAATTCTCTCGCTAGCCTGTTTCTCCTTTGTTCCTAGAAAACACAACCAAACAAAACCAAAGTAATTATCAGAGCACTGAGATACAAGCCTACTAAAAAATGTTCAGCTGAATTGAAAAGTGTGGAATGACTTACAGTATATCCTCTCACTGTTGGGACTCATGCCATAATTTTATTTTAAAACAAACAAGAAATCATTTAACCCAATGCTTCTCAATCTTTTTTTCTGCCCAACACACCTGAAGGATACAATACAACGTCAGTGACAGTGGCTCCCTAAACCAGGGATTCTCAAATGAGGGGCAATGGACTGACATCTTTGCTTTCCCCACTAAAAATCACAGATTGAAACTGTCCCACATAAATGTGTACATCAGCCTTCAGCATACCATGTAGAATCTTAAGTGCACAGATGACAGAATACTTAAGTCTTTAAACCTCACTCTAACCTGCACACATCTATGTGAAATTCCCACAACCCCCACGCACAAAACCGTAAGAGGTATCTGTGGTGGAGGTTATCCTTTAAGGATGTTCCGTTTCCTTCATTCTACTATGTCCCAGAAATAAATGGAGCAGTGAAAACAGTCCTTTCTGTAACCTAATTTAACAGACTGATGGACCACCCACTCTTCTACTTTGCTGTTATCAGGTAACTCTGGTACAAAGCTTAAGAAACTGACATTCAAATCAACAGGTGGTGAACACCTACTGTATGTCAGAGCACCAGGACAGGTTCAAGAGTGAGATGTATGTGTTAACGGCTCTCTCAGCAGCAACAGATACACAGAAAAGCATTTAGGTTCAATAAAGTCAAAACTGCTCCTAAGTAGAAACCACTTCGTGAACACTCTCAAGCCTGCAAAAAAAGATGTTAACAAAGCTTCCATATTGACCTTTTATGGGTAAGACTTTCTTTTGACAGATTCTTGACCAATTTTCATTTTTTTTTTATGAGGTAGTCCAGTGATAATACATGATAAAAATGTGTGGATTTTAACATCTTCAGAATAAAGTTTTCCATATTAAAATGTACGTTTTGAAGAGGGACACAAAGCAAAAAAAAAAGGGGGGGGCAACAGAATCTGGAACCCAGAAATTCTCATCCTAGTCTGTTACCAACTTGTTACGACCTTAGGGGTCCTGGAAAGCATCCTGGCTTATTTGTTGACCAGAGAGGTTACCAACTCTTCCTAAGCCCTCAGTTTTGTCATTTGTTAACATTATCTACCCTCAAAGGGTTGTAAAGTTTCAAGTAGAATATTCAAATAAAGTTCTTTGTCATGGAATCATTAAAAACAGAGACCTACTCATTTGTTTAAAACAAAACAAAACAAAACTTAGCTGAAATCCCATCATAAATGACCTTGTCAGGACGCCTGGGTGGCTCAGTCAGTTAAGTGTCCGACTTTGGTTCAGGTCATGATCTCACGGCTGGTGAGTTCGAGCCCCGCGTTGGGCTCTGTGCTGACAGCTCAGAGCCTGGAGCCTGCTTCAGATTCTGTGTCTCCCTCTCTCTGCTCCTCCCCCACTCATGCTCTCTCTCTCTCTCTCAAAAATAAACAAACATTAAAAAAAAAAATTATAAATTACCTTGTCAGTATTACAAAAACTGTTCCATACATAAGTTTTCCATGAAGGTCGTTTCAGTGTTACAAGGACTAAATCCTAGTCCTAAAACAAGATCGACATGCATTTTTCATGTAACAGTTATCTGGTGCACTTTCCAAGTGCTTTAAAATGCTTACTTACGTGCATTTTTTAAATTTTTTTCTGACACTAACTTACCCCAGCTGTGTAGCTAAAAATACTTCCCTATACCTGTTAAAGATGCTTGTTTCTTTTTAACAGCACCCAGGAAAATAAGCACTAAGATAACACTTAATCATCTGTGGGCCTGAGATTCTTCATCTATTTAACCAAAGGACTGAAGTTGATGATGACCTTGGGTCCTCTCCAGTTCCCAAATTCCATGTTTACAATTTTCTCTCCATCTATTTGCATGAAAGGAAATTTTATATAGAAGGGAACTCTGAGGTCTTACTGGATTAAGGCATAGCAGAAAAATTTACTATTCTTGGATAAAAGTAGCATTGCTTTATCCACCAGCCTTGGCTCCATGTGAGATCTTCTGCAACTTGCAACATTAACCTCAAATGGAAAAAAAGAGCCATGAAATGCAGCCACCCCAGTACTGGTGAAAATTTACCATTAATTTAGGTAGTTCTTAGAATGTTTCCTTCCCAGCTTTTAGAGCCAAATAAAAGCAATTTTAAACATTCACTTTTTTGACTCTTCAACCTGAATAAACTACAACAGTTACTGAGAGAGAGCCAGCCAGGCAGTCCTTCAACACTAAATCAATGAATCCCAGATCCCCTCTGAGTTACAGCTTCGGAAAGAGAAAATGAGAATAATGCCTCCGGGTGGTTTTGAGAATTCAATTTAACATAACAATGTAATGCCCTTAGCATACTTCCTGGGATGTAACAGACAACAATAGGTATCTGTACGTTTTATACTTATGCCATGCTTGGTAAATTTGATACAACTGATTTACAGTGGATTTTCTCTCTCAAAAGAGACAATTCAAATTGTATTTACCTCTATATTATTGTTCATCAGCCCACAAGCATCAGCAAAGTCTGGATGTTTTGTGTTGATGTAAGCCAGTTCAATTGCCACTAAGTTATGGACCTAGAAAAAAAATTAAATTAGGCTATATACTAAAACATGTCAACCTAATTCTAATTTAGGAAACACAACTTACTAAATAGTTCTAAAAAAGGCAGTATGGGAAACTGATGCCTTAATAAATACTCAATATTTATACTCCAACTAATACATGTTATGCCATATTAGAATTTGCTCTTTTATTAATATTTCATCATCTAAGACTGCATTTCTAAGGGGGTGAGATAGTGACCTTAAGGTAGTTAGAGGTATTTTGTTAGAAAAAAAAAAAATTTACCCAATGCAAATCTAAGTTCGAAGGCTTTATGTAACCTTGCTATTAAAACCTCAGATCATCTGCTATTGCACATCAACATTTCAGTTCAGTTTCAACAAGAAAATATTTCATAATCAGATAAAGTCAAAGATGTTAACTTTGAGTAAAGGATACATTTAAAGACCTGAGCCTTACTTATGACAAACCTAGTTTAAATATTATACGTGGTTTGAAATCCTAACGGGACAATAATCAAAAAGGAAAGCTAAGGGGCGCGTGCCTGGGTGGTTCAGTCAGTTAAGCATCAGACTCTTGATTTCACCTCAGGTCATGATCTCACGGTTCATGAGTTTGGGCCATGCAGAGCCTGCATGGAATTCTCTCTCTCTCCTTGCTCCCCCTCCCTCACTAGCTCTCTCACTCTCAAAATAAACTTAAAAAAAAGGAAAAACAAAAAAAGGAAAGCTGAAATTAATTCCTCCAGTATTGCAGAGATTTAACTAACCCCTTCATCTGAACCGTTCCAACAAATCTCAGGTATTAGAACAGCATTAAAACGTCAAAACCAGGTGAAAAGGATCTATTCAAATGAAATTCCAATGATTCTGTCATCTCACTAGGTGGACCCTGAGACCAGGTGAACTACATATCTTTACTCCTCTCATTCTGGGGGCTGCACTCGCAAGGGAAACAACCGAGTGGCAGGGATTACATTCTCCACTTCCAAGGATGGTCTTGTACTCTTAGTAAACCTCCACTGGGGCTCACCACCATCCCAAATGCACTTTTAGTGACCAGGAAGGTAAACAAAACAAGCAACAAATAGAGACACAAAGGCAATTTCAAATGCTTATCCCACATTTTTGCCAATTTCAGCATTTTTAAGGATAGCAGCAACCCACAGAATAGTGGCAAGCAACCATGACATTACAGTACTGGGCCATCAAAAGCAAACTAGAAGTGGCCAAATTATTGTCATGTGCCAGAGTTAAAATAAGAGCTTGCTCTAAAGGCTCAGTTTACTGGCGCTGAAGACAAAGCTAATTTTCCATTAGATCAGTGGTGCTACGTAATAGAGCAAAACTATTCACAATCCTCAAGACGAACTCCATTCTCATGAAAACCTGTGGCTGCAGGCTAACGATGATGAAAACATGAAGAAAAATGTACTTTATACCAGAATTACTGAAGTTTCCTTTGAAATAATAATGGAAGTTCACTAAGCTTTTTCTTGCCACTATACTGGAAAACATGCCTGAACTCTAAAGTACTCATACTGCTGTACAAAAAGCTTCAACAGTGATTACAATGATGACTTGTGAAAATAACAGCTCACCATTTCATTTGTAACAGGTAACCGTTTACGAAGAAGACAAGTCACTACTTCAACTATGGCATCATGAAGTTTAGGAAACCGCAACAACTCCTAAATATGATGGAAGAAAGAAACACAGAAGTCTACTTTGTTTAAAGGAAAATTATATAATTAATGAAATAAATAGATTTTAAGCTACATGTAAGCTGACTACTTCAAAGCACTTTTAGAAAAGGAAGCTACAGATTTGAACTTAACTGTTAACCCATCTTACAGATTTCCTCCCATCCCATGAAACCACCACTTCCGTATTTTACTACTTAATCGGACACCCGTTACATTTGTCTGTTACCTGTGTACTGTAATTGCTACAGTGCTGAATGATCCTTTGCATTTCCTCATGAACTAGTTCCACACAACGCAGGCTGGGTTCTTCCAGACGTTTGATTTGCCGCTTGACCAGTAACTCAAATGAAACTTCAGGCACAAACAAAGCAGGACGAGGACCCTAAAAAAAAAAAAAAGTTGAGCTCTTATTATAGCTATAGACAATTTTAGCTCTTCCCTAGGTTAAAATAAATCACATTGTTTGGTATTTTTCATGAAAAGTGCTTCCTAATATCAAGTATGAGGGCAAAGAGGCTGTACAGTTCATTTAAAAAGATATAGTTAATTGGTTAAAAATTATAATAAACCTTTAACCTCTTTTTAAAAAAAATTCTAAGCCGAGCATACTCACAGTAGCATTTCTAATGGCAGTCAAAATGTCAATAGTGTTAAGGCCACCTAGTGGGTCAACAGATTCTAAAGTTCGCCCAAAAGTCTCATGGAAAATATAACATATCCGAGCACCACCGCATCTGAAAGGCAATCAAGTATATGATTCCTGTTATTACTAAAAGGGAAAGAAGGTGCAAGTTAGAAGTCTTTAAGGTCTTATTTTCTGAGAATGTCTCAGATAAACGATTACATTTAGATCATTTTCATGTGCTCTTAACTCCATTATGAACCAGTTTCTCTATTTTTTTCTTTTAATGGAGAAGAAGGGCATTCACATGTGTATGTGTGTGTGCACACAGAGCTGTTCTGTCAAAACACAGTCAACTAAGAACTACTGAACATCTTTTCTCTCCCTAGTTTTCTTCAACTATAAGCTTTTGAAAAGTCCAGGAATGGTATCTTACTTGTTTCTGTCTATTCACAATTTAGAGGGGAGATAAATAAACTTTTCCTGTAAAGGGCCAGATAGTAGTTTAGACTTTTCAGGCCATACAGTCTGTCACAACCACTCTGTTCTACCGCTGAGCACAAAAGCAGCCACAGACAAAATATAAGAAGTATAGCTGTATTCCAGTAAAACTCAGGCACACAGAAATGTGGATTCTATATAATTTTCATGTCATGAAATATTCTTTGAATTTTTTTTCAACTATTTAAAAATATAAAAATCATTCTTAGCCAATGGGCTACAGTTTGCCTACTCCTGCTTTAAACAAATCTCTACTGGGGCGCCTGGGTGGCTCAGTCGGTTGAGCGACCGACTTCGGCTCAGGTCATGATCTCACAGTCTGGGAGTTCGAGCCCTGCGTCGGGCTCTGTGCTGACAGCTCAGAGCCAGGAGCCTGCTTCAGATTCTGTGTCTCCCTCTCTCTTTCTTCCTCCCCCACTCATGCTCTGTCTCTGTCTCAGAAATAAATAAACACTAAAAAAAGAAAAAAAAAATTTAAAGAAATCTCTACTATTCACTACCTTCTTACAGTTGTCTAGGCAGAAGGTGAACTAGCCTAACATTATGCTAGGTGAAATAAGGCAGACACAAAAGGACAAATACTGTATGATTCCCCTTATATGAAATACCTAGAATTGGCAGATTCATAGAGACACAGCAAATCAGAGGTTCCCAGAGACGAGGAGGAGGGAACAAAGAGATACTGCTTAATGGATACAGAGTTTCTGTTGAGGTGATAAAAAATTTTACAAAGAGACACCATTTGATGGTTAGACAATATTGTGACTGTATTAATGCCATTAAATTATACTTAAAATTACCAGTTAAAATGACCAGTCTGCCTTCAACCTTTCCCTTCTCCAAATAATTTTTCAAAATCACCATAATTATACTTCTAAAATGGGTACTCCTCTGACCAGAAGTGTTCTGTTATAGCAAGAAGTCTTCCAAATTCTGAAGATCTCTGGCTTTCCACAGTCTTGTTTTTAGATGCCTTTGCTGCCTTACCCCTGTTATGTCTTGTCATTGTACATACCATTCTGCAAATACACCCTGCATTGTTCTTCGCTGTTCAAAGCCTAAAATACTCTTCTACTTACTGCATCCCGAAGTTCTATTCAGAGCCCAACCCAAATACATTCTAACTACGGCATTCTCCCAGTCCCTGAGAGAAATGTAAATGGTGTCTTTTCAGTGTCCTAAAGGCTTGAATAGGTGGTTACACAGGTATTTACTTTATTAACTATTTATGAAACCCCCCATATATATTATATGCATGTTTCTGGATATGTATTTAATAAGTATTTAAATAAAAATACTTGATTATACTCCTGTTTGCCACACAATTGTGCCTCAGGTTACCTGGATCTACCTTACCCACTAAGCTCTTTTTTATTTATTATTTTTTTAATGTTTATTTATTTTTGAGAGAGAGAGAGAGAGAGAGAGAGAGAGAGAGAGAGTGCAAGCAGGGGAGGGACAGAGAGAGAGGGAGACACAGAATCCGAAGCAGGCTCCCAGCTCTGAGCTGTCAGCACAGAGCCTGACGCAGGGCTTGAACTCACAAACCATGAGATCATGACCTGAGCTGAAGTCAGACACCTAACCAATTGAGCCACCCAGGCACGCCCCCACTGAGCTCTTTAAAGATTCATCTTAGTAATCTTTATTTCCCTCAATATGCTATAAATATAATAACCAACCATGCAACAATTTATGGGGTTAACTCACTTATATAAGGCCACCTGGGTCACACAAAAGTACACAGAACACACAAAAGTGCATATATAATTTCATGAGTGGTGAAATCTGAATAAGCTCTGTGGGTTGTACCAATGTCCATTTTCTCATTTTGTTACTGTACTATATACAAGATATCAACACTGGGGAAGATGGGGTGAAGGATTAACAGGACCTACTTGTACATTTATTTGCAACTTCCTGGAAGTCTATAATTATTTCAAAATGAAAAGATTTTTTTTAAGTGAGAATTTAGAGAAATGAACATTCTTATGTATTGCTAATACAATCTATTAACAGTATGGCAACAGTAAGAGGCTTTTAGGATGTTATAACCTTTGACATAGTAATTCTATTCTAGGAATTTATCCTAAGGGTTTACTTGGATACATGTCCTGGAAACAGTCCATCACAACATTTTTTATATTTGTGTATAAATGAAAACAACGTATCAGTAGTAAGGTACTGGTTTAAGAAATGAGAGCGTACCTAAAAAATAAAATACTATGTAAATTTTAAGATTGATAATAGAAATGTATAAGTAATATTAGTTGTTTGTGATATGTTGATTTACAAAATGATTCCAAAATAGCGTGTACAGCATCTGATTTTTGAAGATGTGTAATACAGGCATTTATAATGCATAGAAAAATGTCTAGATTCATGCCAAAATTAGCAGGGAGTATTTCTAGTTAGTGGAATTAAGTAATTTTGTCATATATTCTTTTTATCTGCATTTTCTTCCTTTTTTTCATGAATAATTACAGTGTGTATATTAAAGAAATGAACATTTAAGGAGTTAAGTTACCAAATATTTTAAAGATTTATCCAAGTTTTATTAAAAAAAAAACCTGAAATTTTTACTGTGCTTTATACTTAGTTTACAGAGCATTTTTACACATACATCAGACATCATCCTATGCAAAATACTACTTTACAGGTAAGTATAAATCACAATCAGATCATCTCAGATTTAAAGTCACTATTATAAAAGTTAAAGTAACCTAGCAATTCAGGTAACCAAATCCATACAAAAATTTTTTTTACTTACAGCTCTGAAGTTTCAATATATTTTGCGGTTCCTTCAATAGTGTTACAATATTCTGTGGCAAATTTGGTAATAAGCTGGAGTAAAGTAGCACTTTTATCATCCACAGGTTCACCATAGCTATTTAGGAGAGACTGATACTGAGCAGCTAGAACATTTATTCTTGTTTTCAGCTCTGGTAAGCAGTCTCTGATGTGATGCATCAGTAACCTAACAAAGGTTAGAAAAAATGGTTTAAAGTAAAACTGTGTATTTTGAAGCCCCAAACAGCTCAAATTTTTAAAATGCCAATAATGGTGAAAGCTGTCAAATAATTTGTCTTGGCAGGAAATAATGCAATTTTAGGCTAGAAATAAATACTTAGTCTGAACAAAGACAACTTGATTGACACTTTAAATTTGCCTTCAACCCATAAAATTATAGCAGTTGCTAAGAGAATCAAATATAAACTGAAACATATTATTTCTCTATTAATTACAATTACCTCAAAGAAAGTAAGCTACTCAATATAATTCTACCTAGATGATTTTTGTTTCTGACTTATCTTAGCATAGTGAAAATCAATCTTATTAAGATCCAAGTCTATCAGCCTTTAGAGAGTAAGACAAAAGAAAAAACAGCTTTCATTTTAGTCATTTATAAATTACCTAAAAAGGTCTTCCAGTCCCTCTACCATCAGTGGGTATTAAGAAATTCAAGGTACATACCTTAAATTCTTTTTATGAATAATAGAAGGCATCCAAAAATAAGACTAGATTATGTGAAAAATTATAAATTTTAATTAAGTTCCTGAAATCCCAAGTGGAAACTAAGTCATTTGTTATCTAGTTCTAGCACCAAAAATAAATGACTGTCAAGAACTTCATAATTAAGATGTCTTAAAATTCCCTTGCGCATTTCTAAACTCCATAATTTAATGCCAACCGCCCCAATAAAAAAAGATATCTATATTACAAGAACCTACATGCAAGAAACAAGACCTGAAACTATATACATAAGAACATTATGAAAATACAAAGAACTAAAAATGAGAGCTCTCAGACACCTACTGGCAAGCAAACAAACAAACCAACAAAATCTCATTTTTCAAGAGGTAAAAATGTTACCTGTTCAGAGTCCTAGCAAGATACTTTGTTCCATTTCTATTAGCCAGGGATGGGTATTTCTTTTGAAGAAAAGCATATTCATCACGGATTGAATCAGTTACACTCTTCTTATTGTTAATGTCTAGCTGGCTCCTAAGGTTGAAAAATAACAAAACCTTTCAACTAAAGTCAACTGAGGTCTTCTACATACCTTGGATGATGATGATGATGATGATGATGATGATGATAGCACCAAGCATTGTTTGTAATGCCTGATACGGATTGTTTTATTTAATTCTTGCAGTAATACTATGCAGTAGGTATTATTCCATTTTATGCCAAAGGAACTGAGGCTCAGGGACATTAACCTACCCAAGGTCACATGTTAAGTACTTCAGCCTATATTCAATCTGTGACTTGTAAGTAAATAATGCCTGAATAGTTTAGGACTCGTAACTACCATTCACTATAGTCAAAAGCAGTACTCTTAAGTAACAGGGATAGACATGTGAAAAAAGTAAAAGCATGATAGCCAGCTGTATATTTTATCCATGGACAGGCGATGGATTTCTACCAAAAATAATTAACTTGAAGAGCAGTCAACTACAAATGCAACAGTTTTATACCGCCAGCTCGCATGAAAAGAGAGTGGGAATTAAAAACACACACACACACACACACACACACACACACACACACACACACACACAAAAGAAAAGAAAACAAAAAGAGAAGTCAAAGTATAGAAGAGTTAGGACATACGAATAAAGCAGACAACTGAAAGAGATCTTGGATATCACTTAGTAAAAACATTTTCATTTTATTTATTTGTTTAAATTTTTTTTTTTTTTTTTTTTTTTTTTTTTTTTTTTTTGAGAGAGAGAGAGAGGGAGGGCGTGCAAGTGCAAGTGGAGAAGGGGCAGAGAGAGAGGGTGACAGAGAATCTTAAGCAGGCTCCACACCTAGCATGGAGCCCAACCTCAGGCCTCGATCTCAAGACTGTGAGATCATGACTTGAGCTGAAATCAAGAGTTGGACACTTAACAAAATGAGCCACCCAGGCATCCCTTTATTTATCTATTTATTTACTTTTTGAGGGAGAGAAGAGCAGTATCATTTTAAAAGGCCTGAAACCCAAACATGTTAGGTGTCATTTAAGGCCACATTATATATCTAGTTTAGAGACAAACTAGGACTAGAACCCAGATCTCCTGTTAATTTCAGTGCTGCCTACTTTATAAAGGCTTTGGACTAAGAGAGTGCTTCATTTGAAATCTGCTTTCACCATGTGACTTTTGGAGATATAAAACTTGAGCCTTCTAATTATAAAATAGACACCAACACCTACCTCACAGCGATGTTGTAAGGGTTCAAAGAGATACCATTTGCAAATTGCTCACAGTAAAGTCTCTAAAACATAATTAGACACTCAGTAGTAGTTTCCTTTCCACAATTTTTAATGCCAGCTATTCATTATTAGAATACCTTTAATAAAATTTCTCCAAGTCACATCCTGGCAAATACAAAGGATCAATCACTAATGCCAGAGGTGTTAAACCAATTTATTAAAATCCTACCATCTTAACAAACTCTTTCTTGATTGCATGCAAATTTAAATAATACTCTTTTTTCTTATCCAGTGCACTCCTCATACATAACACAATAGGCAGGAATTTTTCAAGCCTCACTATTAAATTTTCTTCCACTTTATAGCACTGCTTACTTTAAAAATCCTTTCCATTACAAACACCCACAGGAGGCTTTAGTGGATCTTTTCTCCCTTTAGAGCACTGAATTCCTAACAATACCACAGTTACAGTAAAAGGGAAACAGAGGGATCATATCACATTTTAGATTACTTTTTAAAATTCAGATTTGCTCTGAAATGGGAATGCTGCAATTATTATCCCATTCTTGATTGCTAACCTGTTAACTACTCCAATTATTCCAAGTTTGACTGGTATAACCCTTCCCATCAATACATCCATGGCATCAGTACCCGCATCCATGAGGTCAAGTTTAGTGATTACAGCTAAGGTTCTGCGACCTGGTAAATGAAAAAAAGAAAAGATATTGATCCATTAAATAAAGCTATTCAGTATTAATAAAGAAAAATCCTCATCTATAATCCCTCCTTAACGTTACTTCTGTCATCATTTTGGCAGTATTTTTCCAGCCTTTGCTTATAGATACTGTTTAAAGTTTATTTACTTTGAGACAGAGACAGAGAGAGGGCAAGCTGGGCAAGTGCAGAGAGAGAGGGTAAGAGAATCCCAAGCAGGCTCTGTGGGGTCAGTGCCAAGCCAGAATCGGGGCTCCATCTCACAAACCACGAGTTCATGACCTGAGCTGAAATCAAGAGTTGGATGCTTAACCCACAAATACTTTTTAAAAACTTACTTTAGAGGCACCTGGGTGGCTCAGTTAGTTAAGCACCTGACTCTTGATTTCAGTTCAGGTCATGATCTCGTGGTTCATGAGTTCGAACTCTGCACTGGGCTCGAACCTGCTTGGGATTCTCTCTCTTTCTCTCTCTCTCCACCCCTCCCCTCCCCTGTTTTCTCTTTCTCTCTCTCTTTCAAAAATAAATAAACTTTTAAAAAAATAGAAAATTATAAAAACTAACTTATTTTAATCATCATGTAAAATTAAAAAAAATGTTCACATATAGTGTTTTTTATTAGCTCTTAGGGCTCATTTTTTATAAGTATTTTAAAAATCTATTTAAAATTTACTCACTCCTGTTGTACAGTTCCAGGAGTTTTGATAAATGCAAAAGAGTTATGTCACTTCCACCTCAAGACAAAACAGTTGTATCACTTCCCCCCAAATTTATTTGTACTACCACCCAATCAAACCCCTTTTCTTTAAAAAAATTTTTTTCAATGTTTATTTTCGAGACAGAGGGAGAGAGAGAGGCACAGAGAGAGAGGGAGACACAGAACCCAAAGCAGGCTCCAGACTTTGAGCCGTCAGCACAGAACACAACACGGGGCTCAAACCCACGAACCGCCAGATCATGACCTGAGCCGAAGTTGGAGGCCCAACCGACTGAGCCACCCAGGTGCCCCTCAAACCCCTTTTCTATTCCTAGATTTGCTTTTCCAGAATATGACATAAATAGAATCATATACATATATATAGCCTTTTGACTCTGGCTTCTTTCACTTGACATAATGCACTTGAGAGTCATCCGTGTTGTTGCATATATCAATAATTCATTCTTTTTCATTGCAAAGCAGTGTTCCATGGTAGGGATATACTATAGTTTGGTACTTTGAGAAACATTTGGGTTGTTTCCAGTTTTAGGAGATACAAATAATAGGTTTTAATTTAACATGGGTAAATGTCTAGGAGTGGTACTGACTGAACTTTTTTTTTTTGAAATAAACTCTTTCAACGTTTATTTATTTTTGGGACAGAGAGAGACAGAGCATGAACGGGCGAGGGGCAGAGAGAGAGGGAGACACAGAATCGGAAACAGGCTCCAGGCTCTGAGCCATCAGCCCAGAGCCCGACACGGGGCTCGAACTCACGGACTGCGAGATCGTGACCTGGCTGAAGTCGGACGCTTAACCGACTGCGCCACCCAGGCGCCCCTGACTGAACTTTTTAAGAAACTGACAAACCTCTTCAAAGTGGCCGGTACCGTTCCCACCAGTAATGTGTAAGAACCACAGCTGCTCTGCACAGTGTCTAATTTTACATACGGCATTTTCAACATTGCTTCACATCTACAAAATCATTCTTTTTAATGATTCCCTACCCATCACTACCTTAATAATCTATTATTATCTTAGTCTATTATAATCTTAATCAGTCCTACTATGGGCCATATATTAAGTTGAATTTAATTTTTTGACACTATAAATAATACTCGATGGGACTATTTCCTTACAATATATGACCAGATTCAGATTCCTAGATCAAGGGGTGCCTGGGTGGCTCAGTCGACTCTTGACTGTGGTTCAGGTCACGATCTTGCAGTTCGTGAGATCGAGCCCCGCAACGGGGTCTGTGCTGACAGTGTAGAGCCTCCTTGGGATTCACTCTCTCCCTCTCTCTTCCCCTATCCCACTTTCTCTCTTTCAAAATAAATAAACTTAAAAAAAAAAATTACTAGATCAAAAGTATGATCCTATTTATGGCTTAAAGGTCAGTTTAAAATAGAATGCATATAAAATGCTTAACAGTTTAAATGATAAATGTAAAATTTAAATAAACCTTTTGATAGAGCTTAATTAATTTATTTCTTACTATTATTTTTTAAGTAAACTCTACCCACAATGTGGGGCTCAAACTCATGACCTTGAGATCAAGAGTCATATGCTCCACCGTCTGAGCCAGCCAGGAGCCCCTAGAGCTTATCTTCCAATCTAAAATGAACATGTGGTAAATACTTCTTAAAAGCTTTAAATTAAATAAAAATACTTTTAAAAATTACTGTTTATGGGAATTTTAATTAGTAGCCTTAGCATTAACTTTTCCTACCAAATTTTTATTTCAAATTCTTTTTTTTTTTTTTTTTAATTTTTTTTTCAACGTTTATTTATTTTTGGGACAGAGAGAGACAGAGCATGAACGGGGGAGGGGCAGAGAGAGAGGGAGACACAGAATCGGAAACAGGCTCCAGGCTCTGAGCCATCAGCCCAGAGCCCGACGCGGGGCTCGAACTCACGGACCGCGAGATCGTGACCTGGCTGAAGTCGGACGCTTAACCGACTGCGCCACCCAGGCGCCCCTCAAATTCTTCTTCAAAGCAAGAAAAAAGAAAACAGGACACAGCCCACAGAACCCCCAAATACTCCAGTAAAAAAATTAGATCCTATGTGGAGCAAAGCTACATTTATTAGCAGCAATAATAATTACTCTCTTATAAGCTGCCATTGTATATATACTATGAGATGTATATCACAGCATTAGTCAACTATCATACAATGATCCACAGTATGAACTAATCCTTGGGGTTATGAATACTTCATAAAAGGATTTTACCTTTATTTCTAAGAATTTCCTCTGCCTTATGTCTGTCTAAATGTTTTCTACCTCTGCGGAATGTAGATAACCACAATTAGCTACTGTATCATAATCAACAATGATCAATTATGAGTTAATTATTCTTAGAAGTCAGCTAGTCAAAAATCTAAATCATTTTATTTCTACAAAACAAACCATCCTTGAAAAGCCATCTTATTATTTAAAAAAAATTTTTTTTAATGTTTATTTATTTTTGAAGGGGAGAAAGACACAGCATGAGCAGGGGCAGGGCAGAAGAGAGGGAGACACAGAATCCAAAGTAGGCTCCAGGCTCTGAGCTGTCAGCACAGAGCCCAAGGCAGGGCTCGAACCCACGAGCTGTGAGATCATGACCTGAGCTGAAGTCAGATACTTAACTGACTGAGCCACCCAGGTGCCCCTCATATTATAATTTTAAAGTCATCAGGTAACCATGACAAATATGGACATTATGTTAAGTATTTTTGCCTTGACTATACAGCAACTAACCCATTAAAACTTTATTTTCCATCCGAATCTCTATTTGTAATTATAAGCAGAATAGAAGCACATTGTTTTTTAAATCTGTATTAACAGTTTGATATTCCTTTTAAAAATATTCCTTTCTTGAGGGTAGATTTACCACTGTTAACCAACCATATCTCATTAAATATAAACATTTGTCCTTACCATCTGGATCTACCTCTCTTGAAATCTTAAGGGCCTCTGATGTGGCCATATCGGTATTAGCAGCAGTGACAGCAAGGATGATGGAATTTGGATTACTGATGAAGCGAAGAATGAGCTCTCGGATTTGAAGCTCAATATCCTTAGGTTGATCACCCACAGGCACCTGAACCGAAGACAAATGAAGAAGGAACTAGTAATAAAAATCAACTCAGCCTCCCCTCACTTAATCTACAGAATGTAGGCATTACTCCATTTACAGTTAAAATGAAGAAAGTATATACATCCTACTAGTAGTGGTATGTATGCATTTGGTAATATGTGAAAGCCTCAAAATGTACCTCTTGCAAATATCAGAAGTTTACTGTGTGAAGGACTGGTCAGTGCTAATTCCTAGAGACAAATTCATTCATTCATTCATTCATTCATTCATTCATTCAATTACCAAATATTTATTGGCAGCCTAATATATTTCAGGCACTGTTCTACATCACATATGTCATGGTAGTCATTAAGAAAAAAGAGACTGATAATTATTTGAAATCAGATTATGCTTTTAAATAATGAGGGAAGAACTCACTCAGATAATGACATTTGAGAGAATGGCCAGAAACTGAAGGAGATAAGGGAGAGTTACATGCAGATATCTAGTGGAAGAATATTCCAGCAAGATGAATGATAAGGTCAGAACACTGGAACAGAAAGAGTTAAAAGAGTAACAGGATACTTTAAATCTCTTTTTAGAACTTAAGCTTTTACTGTGAATGAAATGAAAGCCAATAGAGAGATTTTGAGCCAAGGAGTGACACAATCTAATTTTTACCTTAACAGCATCATTCTGGCTGATTACTTAACAGATTATGAGGAAGACCTGGTAGGAGGCTGTTGCAGTAACGCAGGTGAGATGATAGTGGCTAGATGAGGATGTAGCTACAAATGTGTATATACAACAGAGTTCTAGATATATTTTAAATGTAAGGAGGGCCAAAAAGATCTGCTCACAGAGTAGTGTGGAATAAAAAAGTATCAAGGCTGACTACAAACTTTTTGGCTAAGCAACTGACAGAAGAGGGTTGCCATTTATTTAGTTGGGGGAGATTATAGCAGGATCAAGTCAGCTTGAGGGACAGGTCAGAAATTTAGCACAAGACATAACAAGTTTGAAACGTCTACTAGACACGTGTGTGGACATGCCAAATAGACAGTTACAAAAGTCTGGAGATGTTTAAATGCTGTCAACATACAGACATTCATGTATTTCAACCCCTAAGTTTCGACGAAATCATCAAGGGGGGGGGTAAGTGTACCCACTTGATAAGAGGTCTAAAAACTGAGCTCTAGGCACTCACTGTTAACACTGGGAAGATAAGAAACCAGCAAAAGAGACAGAGAAGGAGTGGACAGTGATGCTGGAGAGAAACCTGCAGAATATGGTGTCGTGGAAGCCAAGTAAAGAAAGTGTTTCAAGGAGAAGGGAGGGCTCAACTATATCAATGCTGCTAGATCAAGTTGACTGGAAAAAAAAAAAAAAAAAGGCTGATTATTCTCATATAAGGTCAAGTAAAAACCACATTTGTTCGAGTGAAAACAAACATGACCAAATCCACGATGAGTAACAACTAATCTTTACCTTGGTCATTCCTGGCAAATCCACAAGTGTCAGATTGACAACATTGGGTGAAAAAATCTTAAGATGAATTGGCTCAGGGCTTACTCCCTAAAAATAAGTTTTAAAATACATTAAAATCACATTAAAATTTCATTGAAATATAAAAATGCAAAGTACATCTCATTTCAAGTAGATAGACTCTAGATGCTTTCAGATACAAATTAAACCATGATCCCTAAAACATTTCAGCAATCAAAACCTGATGAAACCCATGGGAAGTAAGGCAGCCAGCCAGCCATATAGCAGGTTATAAGCTTACTCAATCCTGTAACATTAATATACAAAATTTATTTCTCCTTTATTATTCCACATTCTTTACTCGGGTTCTAGACAGATACAATTTCTTAAGTACGTTTAATAGACTTAGTGCTGAACAAAAGAACACTGTGTCACTATCCAAACTTATGAGGTTCTTGAGTAGACAGTGAGGCATAGGTAACAAGTTATCCACATCAACTTGGTTCCTAATCTTTGAATATCAGGTAGCAAAAACATATATTCTAAGAGACTCCTCAGAAAATTTATCTGCATCTTCAGATTCCTGAATTCAAATAGAATTTGGATAGTGAGAGATACCTTTATTTCCCTAGACTGAGATCATTATACACACTGCCTTCTCTTCACCACTGGCCCTCTACAAGTTTTAGAGCTGAGTCAGCTACATGTAAAAAGGCACATAGAAAATGTGCATTCATCTTTGCATATGCCCTTCTTTATCCTTTAAAATGTCCTCTCATCTACCTACCTTTTATCTTCCTTCATACACACCCACTGAAAATTTTAATTTCACAGAAAGCTTTTTTGAAACATCCTTTACTCTGAGTTATATTAGATAACTCCAAACTACTTTTCTATTTCAAACACATCAGTGTTCCAAAGTCATGTGCTGATATTCAGCATACCTACCCAGCTTGTGTACTTCTCAGGCATTCCCTTCTCATGTCCAATACAAAGCTTTGCTCAAATGCCTTTACAACTCCAATCTCATAAATATTTTAAATCCCTCAGGGCTTTATGTTAGGCATATGAAATCATTTAGATATTTATACATATGAAATTACTTACATAAGATCAAAGTATCATTTACTTCATTACAAACATGATTTAGGAAAGAAGAGATTTTTCACAGATTTGGGGGTAGGGGACTTCTCATCTTTTGGACACTGTGGGTGAGAAAACCTGCTAGGTAAGTATATCACATCCCCACCGTAAATTAAACATCTTGTTGGTATACAGACTCCATCTTTCATGACATTCAGTCTAGTTTAACTAAAATTTTCCTTTCTGAAACACTAGTCACATCCATTATAAATTCTAGCCCTATGTAAAATTACCACCAATTCCTGAGTTCAGTAAATCCATGGGGACACAGCAGAGAATTCAGACTGGTACTACGATTAATAACATCCCCGAAGTTAAAATTATCCCTGATATAATTACAGGACAGACAACAAGCTAATCTAGTTTGCTGCCACTTTTTCTACCTCTTCTATACAACACAATCATTAGAAATTCAGGGAAGTATGGTAGCAGCAGCAGCAGTAACTCAAAGGTTACCAGCCCAGAGTTCAATAATGAACAAAGCTTAGTCAGAGAGATAAATATCCTGACTAGACATAAAGAATTGACGTGGCTCAAAAATGCCTTTGTGTCAGGACAACCTCTTCAGCACAACATCTGGCAGATCAAAGGGCTCAGTGAATACTTGTCGAATATTAGTACTAGGCCAGGGCCCACTTGCTGGATTAAGTAGCCTTTGGATAATACAAGAATGGAGGTTAAAAAAGAAAAGAAAGAAAAAAGGAAGGAAACAGAAAGATAGTTAAGGATAAAGAAAGGAGAGAAAACAGAGCATTTATGAGAAGCAGTGATAGTGCTTGGTGTCAAGATTAATGGCATCTTAGACACATTTTTTTTTTTAATTTTCACAATGTTAGAAAACAGGAATTAAGTTGTTAACATTAGTTTTCATTTTCATCAAAGAAAACTTCTCTCTTTACTTTCGTAAGTAAATCTAGCCTTACTCAGGTAAGAGAGCTCTTCAAAATCTCCTAAGTTACATAATGCTTCTTGAGTTAGAGTACAATCAATCCATCAGAAAAAAATAACTTACTATAGCAATATTAAATACAAAAATTATATAAGTGATATATAAATCACAAGATAAACAATCATCTAAATGAAATATTTGATAGTATATGAAAGCTCTAAGAAACAAAAGGGATTTTAAGTAAGGTGTTTATATACTTGGGAAAATACTCCATTAGTTTCAAAGACCAGGACTATGAATTTACAATGCCCATAACACATTATACACAGAATACTCTCAATGATATATTTACTGAGGTTTATACATTCTAACTCTAAAAAGATGCCTACCTTATTATTTCCCGAAATCCTTTCTGTTTCGTTTTCAATTTCTTGTCGAATTTCATCAAAATCCGTGTAAAGCTAAAAATTATTGAAACAAAAAGGACAACATTCATGATAAGATCAACAGTTCTTAAGTGAGGGGTTGATAAATTTCAAGGATGTCTACAGATCTGCTTCAGAGAATTAGTAAATTCTAATATATACATGTATTTTCTAAGCCAAGGAGTCTTAGTTTACATGAGCTTTTCAAAGCTGCCTGATCCCACAACAGTTAATTTCCACATTACAATAAGGCTCAACATAAAGTGTCTTCCAAATAAACTGCTATGGTTAGAAATGTTACTAATAAGATAAGATTTATTTTATAAGGAGCAGTTGCTTCAAGATAACATAACACACTGCCAATCGTAAGAAACTAAATTATCAACTACTTGTACAAAAAAATGTATCAACATATTATCTCTTCATAATATTCTTGTGTGATTGATTACCTTATTTTTGGTGTGAAGAAATTTACCCCATTCTTCTGCTTCAACCCCTAGAAAAAGAAAAACTCCATTTATTGGAAACTATAGCAATTACCTTTTTATCTTAGGAATTCAAAAAGGCAACACAATATTATTTGTTCCTATTTTGCCACTGACAAGCAGTATTTTAAGACCTCCTAAATTATACTTTCATATTTTAAAAACTATCATATATTTCAAAAAATGACTTTTGAGAGTTACTCACAGATCTTCCTTTTGAAATCTAGATTTGAAATCTAGAGTCTGAAAATAAAATTGTTCATTTCTCTTCATATTTTGTACGTAATTATATTATGGTAAAAGCATATGCTTTGTTTTTAAATATCTTACACATAAAAGCAGTTTATACAACGAAAGTAACTCAAGCAAATGGCTAACAGAAGAAAAACTAAGAATCCTACTGAGTAATGCAAAAAGCACATGTAATAGATTTACACAAATAACTCAAGGTAAAAATTTGCAATATGTAAATGAAACTTTTTTCTTTTAAATTTGGTTTCCTGCTGGTTACCTATAAAGTCACAATTTGCTGTTCCTTTAAAGAGTTCTCTCAGTAGTGCAAAATTATCCTGTAACTTATATGTACTTTCAAGGTGATTTTCCCACCAGGGCCAAGACTATGTTTTCCCTTGGAAATGAAGGTTAGAAAGCAATGAAATGAGTGTTTGTGGGTGGGAGGAGACAGACAGACCCTAGCATATGTACTGTATGGAGTCGCTACTCTCCATGAGTTTCCAGTAATAGGTCTGTTCTTCCTGCACTTCCTGAAAAAAAAGGAAAATATAATTCACTGTGGGCACTGTTTCAAGTGGTCTAAATCTTGGCGAGCAAGTTTTGTTCTATTTTTCTCAGAAAAACTAGAAATGTTTAATTGTAGAAAAGTAACCAAACTGCCTCCCCTAAGCACAGCTATTCTGCTTTTGCCAAATTCAGAGTTCTAAGTATCCTAATGACTGAGTTAATGAATAACTCATATCGGTCACCTGAAATCAAAATAAAAATGACTAAAAGATAGTTAAATAAATATTGAAGAAAAAGTGATTCAATTCTTTGGTGGAAATAAGTAAATAAAACTGGATCCTTTTTGCTAATAAAATGCTCACCTACTTGAAGCTTAGTACCTTCTTCCAAGAAGTCTCATTGGAGGACTGGAGTAATCTAGGTGAACAGAACTCACAGAGACAGCTACTACGTACCAAAGGGGGGCGGGGGGTGGGGAGGTTAATTTACCTTATCGTTTAAAAGAGGTCTGGCTTAACAAGCATGTTTTTAAAAATAAAAATAAAATAAATTACATTCACCACCAAAAAAAACCCTGCATTCTGATGCAATGCCAAAAGGTAACAAGAACCACCTACAATCAATGTGGATAGGCAAATAAAAATGGAAGAAAAATAATGCACACAGCCTGTAAGAGTACGTAAGCACACATGCAGGCATACTAGAAAAAAAAGGGCCAAAAACAATGGATAAAGGAAACCTTTAGAAAGGTGTCTTGAGTTTTTCCATGTAGCAGGGTCTGCAGTTAAAGAGAAACAGCACAGAATGATAAGTTTAATGCTTAACCCTAGTATTTTAAACCTTTTTAAAAAGTCAAATCTGCAGAAACCTGAACACATTTCAAATGCACGGAGCATCCAATTTTTCAAAACTTACAACTGTAATTCCCATTACAATTAATAGTAAATACCTAAAGGGATATATATGTTTTAAGTGATATAAATGAAGTATACCACGTGCCATAATTTGCTGGTATTTTCCATCACAGCTAATTGTATTACTTCTGGTTTCTAGTGCTAACACAACCGGATTAAAATTGATTCACTCTCCAAAAATCTGCCATAAATATTTGATATGTAGGAAAAGATAAATTGCCTGGCACAAAAAAATCTACAAAGCATACCAAACACATTTTCCAAAACCTCAAAAGTAAATATATATGAGTATTTACCCTATTCATGAAGAATGAGCTTTTTATAAGGGATTATTTTCTTTAAAATACATACTGAATTTAAAAAGAACACCATAAAAACAATTTTGGTCTTTAATCAACATGCTATTTTTGGATTTTGTCTAAAAGGAAATCTGAAAAAAGACTGATTCTTAAAAATATATGAAAGATAAATGTGAAGTTGAAAGTTCAAACTAAATCAGTGTGAATCTATTTTTAGTAAGATTTTATGAGAAAATTCTTTCACATTGGCAAAAGGGGGAGCAAGCTGAGAAATACTATATAAATATACTGACACCTCAATTATCCTACTTGGCTGACAGAATGAAGGATTCCACATTACATAAAATTTCCTGATAATTACACATATTAAACATTAAGATATTTTATTTTAGTCAGTTTTGATGGACCTGTATCTAAAATGGATTATTCTGGGGCGCCTGAGTGGCTGAGTCGGTTAAGTGTCCAACTTTGGCTCAGGTCATGATTTCACGGTTCATGGGTTTGAGCCCTGTGTTGGGCTCTGTGCTGACAGCTTGGAGCCTGGAGCCTGGAGCCTGCTTTGGATTCTGTCTCCCTCTCTCTCTGCCCCTTCCGCTCATGCTATGTCTCTGTCTCTCAAAAATGAATGCTAAAAAAAATTTTTTTAATAAAAAATGAAAAAATAAAATGGATTATTCTGCTCCATGTCATCCTAAAATATACTGCTCTAAATCAGCCTATTATTGCAAACTTCAGCCTTTGTTACATAACAAAGCCCTCTGAGGCTATAAATCCCTATCCAAAATGGTTAGAAACTGGTTTTTTCTTTCTTTTAAGTTTTCCTGTCTGATTATGTTTTCCTTACTTTCTCCTCTCTGGTTTATCAGACTGTCAGGTAGTTCATACTCTTCTGGCTAACTAAATGTTTATCTATTTCTTTGTTTCTAATTTTCTCTGGGTTACAATGATTCATGGCCAGGTAGATTGGTTACCCTGAGTATAAAGAGGATCTGATGAGAAAACTAAGGAACTATGCTAATTATTAATAATACACATGAAATTTAATACTCAAAATTTATGAAATCTAGTTTGTGTTCTGGGTAGCTGAGTTGTCATTTTAAGTGAGGATTAAGTGTGTCTTAAGTAATACAAAATATTGTGCGGGTTTTTTTTTACATAAAATGGAAACACTAAGCTTTGAAAAAAAAAAAAATATATATATAGGTAAGATGTGCAGATTTGCTGACCAACCACTAAGATGAGAGGTATCAACAAAACCTGGTGAACATATGAGCAGAGATACTGAGGAACTGACACTTCTGTGGCTGAAATGTACACCTTTTTCTACAAACACTACCCACATCTACAGTTTCTAAGAGACAGGATATCTATCATTTGCCCTTTTCATGATGACTGAAGAAAATAAAGGGTTAAAAGAAAGAGACCTAATTAATGCCATATAGTTTCTTAAAGTCTGATTTTAAGTTTTCTGGTATACTTCATGATGTAAGTTAGTAGGAATGAAATTTTAAGTATTATTCTATATATTTGAAGCTGAATCATAGGTTAGTTCAACCTGATTAAATTCGAGGCTTAGAATTTCAATACTAAACAAATATCATAGAAATACAAAGTGATGAATAATATACCAAGAAGCTACCTAATACACTTAATTAATAGGCTCCTACATATCCTCTGGCAGTCTATCCAAAAATACTACTTGTTAACATCTAAACTTCATTAACTTGCTTCAGTGATTAACTTTCTATAGTCATTGCAGATGCTCATGATAGGTTTTTTTTTTTTTACTACTTAAAAAAAAAACAAGCTATCACTACCAATACTCCTATAATAATAGGAAAAATAATTAAAGTAACTTCAATTTCATCAATACTATCATCCCTTCTTAGATGAGAATCTAAGTAGAATCAAACTGCATTGAAAACAGATCTCTGCAGATGAGTAACAAACATGGTACTCTGCTGCCAATGTAATTAGTTATTTTACAGACTTATAAATAAGAAAGTCTGAGCCAAACACTGAACTAAAAAAAGGAAGATTAAATATATTATTTTCGTCAAACATTCCAACCTCACTAATATAAATAGGACACACGCTTAATAAGCAATTTAATATCCACTGATAGACACAACATTTCTCAAAATATTTTCAATTTAACCAAAGAACTGCTATAAAGGACAGTACATGTTTTTCTCATTTTAATATTCCACATTTGGGGCGCCTGGGTGGCTCAGTCGGTTGAGCGTCCGACTTCGGCTCAGGTCATGATCTCACGGTCCGTGAGTTCGAGCCCCGTGTCGGGCTCTGTGCTGACAGCTCAGAGCCTGGAGCCTGTTTCAGATTCTGTGTCTCCCTCTCTCTCTGCCCCTCCCCTGTTCATGCTCTGTCTCTCTCTGTCTCAAAAATAAATAAACGTTAAAAAAAATTAACAAAAAAAAAAATATTCCACATTTGCTATTGGAGGAGTGGGTGGATCTTAAAAATCAAAATAGTATGTGCTATGTAGGTAAGCATGGCAAGAGAAGGACAGTAAAAAAGATAAAAATAAAAAACCAAAACTCTTTCTAAAAATAATATTCATCTTAGCTTGAAGGGCAAAAGATTCAAAATTAGCAAGTACATGGTGACACCAGAAAAGAGAAGGTGAGATAACCCTGCTGTAATAAAAAAGTCAGGGGCGCCTGGGTGGCACAGTCGGTTAAGCGTCCGACTTCAGCCAGGTCACGATCTCGCGGTCCGTGAGTTCGAGCCCCGTGTCGGGCTCTGGGCTGATGGCTCAGAGCCTGGAGCCTGTTTCCGATTCTGTGTCTCCCTCTCTCTCTGCCCCTCCCCCGTTCATGCTCTGTCTCTCTCTGTCCCCAAAATAAATAAACGTTGAAAAAAAAAATTAAAAAAAAAAAAATTAAAAAAAATAAAATAAATAAAAAACAAAGTCATTTTAAGTGTATTTAAAATTTTTAAACTAGAATCTAAATGATTTAAATTTCTAAATCAAAGTAAAAAAGTAAAAACAGTTTTTAAACACTAGGGGATAAAAGCTTAAAACACTCCAAAAGACACAAAAATTTTTCTTTAAAATAACTGGTTTCTATTTACTAAGTATCTCACTAAATTCTCTATAAACATTAACAACAGTTTACTAATAAGCTGAACTACCAAAAAGGTAGTATTCCAAACAAGTCTACTTATGGTCCTCAAAACTTACTGTTTTTTTTTCTTTACATGAGAAATGATGCATTCCACCTCTCTTCACAGGAATTCTCCTTTTGTTACAACCACTAATTTCTGGTCTAATCTGGTCTAATGTGTTTTTAAGATTCAAGCAAAAATGAAGAATTTTTAAATAATTCTTATTCCGATTCTAAAATTTACCATTTTCTTCTCCTGTTGTTTTTCTCTTATCTTCGGGTGAAACATGGACTAGCTGCAGAATGAGAGGTCTCCGGGTGACAATACCAGTGCCTCTGGGAAGCAGGTCCCTCCCCACTAGGCTTTCTAGCACTGAGCTCTTTCCACTGCTCTGAAAACAGAATACACAAGAGCAAAATGAGTTTCTACATAGATTTTTAAAATAACTTAATAAGACTACACTGACAAAGCACCATGCAAAGAAATTAAAGAAAAAATTACTGCAAAGACTTTTAAAATTAAAGAAAGTTTAGTTTTATTTTCTATTATATGATCTTTATTTCTTTAAAATAAAAACTCCAAAAAGAGAGATTAAAGTCCTACTCTCCCCCCGCCCCCCCCCCCAAAATAAAGTCCCACTCTCCTGTAATTTTCCTACTTTTTTTGATACTCTCCCAACCAGGTTTTCAAAACCTGTAATACTGGCACGTAATGCTATGTCTATGAGAATATATTACTTTAAATGGGGTAGCACTACATGTATTTTTCTCTAACCGGCTTTTATTTTTGATGTAGCAATCACAGATAATATTCCATATCAATATACTAACATCTGTGTTTAATGGTCAAATAGTATTCTACAGTGTGTAAAGCCAAACTTGACTTGGTTTTTGCTACCATTAACAATGCTACAGTGCACATGGTTTATACATATAACCTTACTCACTTATCCTATTACTTCACTGGATTTAGTTCATTAAATGAAATTGCTAAAGAGCTAAAGATTAAAGAGCACAGAGATTTGAAGCATTCACAGATGCTGTCAGACTGCACACAAGAAGGCAGGAACCAAGCTACACTTCGCATTCAATCTGCTGCAGCCCCATTAGCAGTGGGCATTATCACTTTTTTGAATCTTTGCTACTTTGATAGATGAACACTCACAGCTCGTTTAAATTTACATGACTTTATTATTGAAGTCAAGGATCATTTTGTTTAAAGGTTTTTTGTATTTTTTCAGTGATTGTTCAAATGCTGGCATTTTACATTTCTTATTAGCTTATAAAGCTTCTTTATCCATAAGTACTTCACTTTTGTTCTGAATATTTCCCAACTTTTTATTTTGAAAATTTCAAAGCCACAGAGCTTTGAGAATATTAACCGTGAATGCTCATATCTTAACAAAGATGCACTGAATATTAACATTGGACACATATGCTTTATGTCTCTTTCTACACACACGCATGTGCGCGTGCGCGCGCACACACACACCTTTTTCTTTTGTTGTCCTATCTGAGTTAGTTATATACACCATGACACTTCATCTCTAAAAAATATAGCATATCTGTCTCTAAGGGCATGCACAAGGGCATTCTTCCATACAACCATATTCAATGATCACCCTCAGGAAATTTAACACAGATATAAGACTAGTAAATAGATAATCAAGGGGTGCCTGGGTGGCTCAGTCGGTTAAGTGTCCGACTTTGGTTCAGGTCATGGTCTCGCGGTCTGTGAGTTCAAGCCCCGCGTTGGGCTCTGTGCTGACCGCTCAGAGCCTAGAGCCTGTTTCAGATTCTGTGTCTCCCTCTCTCTCTGCCCCTCCCCCGCTCATGCTCCGTCTTTCTCTGTCTCAAAAATAAATAAACG